TGTTTTGTCTCTCTTCCTGGGGGTTCTCTCATGGACAAGTGACCTGGGCTAGGTCCACTACTTTTTTTGGTTTGGTGCCTGATACATGTGGGGTGTTGGTGGGGAATGACTCTGAGCGATGGGCAGGAAATGAGTCCCTCATTGTGAAAACAAAATCCTAGCTTTCTTTCCAAGGATGAGTGATCAGTGGAAAAAAGGATCCCAGGAATTAGGACTCTTTTTTAGTTTAGTTTAGTTTTGTTTCTGTTCTTGTTTTGCAGCTGTGCTCTAGACTTCCTCTAATCATGCAAAGTTACACACAGAATTGAAAGAGACATTAACATTCATTTTATTCCAACTCTATCTTAAAAAAAAAATAGAGACCTGAGGACCAGTGACAAAATCCCTAAGGCAATGTGGTATGTTTTAGGCTGAGTCTGATTCTAGAACCCCTGACTCTTGACTCCCTACCTTGTGAAACCTTCACTGCACAGTAGCCCTCAGACTCAGTTTTCCCTTGTGCCAAACAGAACCATGTAGGGTGTGCTGCCTCTCTCTCTCAAGTCACTGACGATGTCTGCAGTTTCCTGTTACTTTTGGAGGAAGGTTACTCCCAATATATGTTAACATAAAAATTCTAACAATGTGTCTAAAGAATATAGCACGTTCTCCACAGCAGTGCTAACTTATTCAATGTGAGCAAGCACTGTATTACTTCACTTATTTAATCATCCCAATAAACCTACAAAGTAGGTTTTCTAACTAAGTTCATCTCAAAAATGAGACAACAGAGGCTTAGGGAAGGCAAGCAGTTTCCTCTTCTGCAAAGTCATTTCTAAAAGTGAAGTCTGCCAGGGGGCCCTGGTTGGCTCAGTAGGTTGAGCATCCAACTTTGGCTCGGGTCATGATCTCACGGTTCATGAGTTCTGGCCCTGCATTGGGGTCACTGGTGTCAGCACAGAGCCTGCTTTGAATCCTCTGTCCCCTCTCTCTCTATGCAACTCCCCCATTTGCGCTGTCTTTCTCTCCCTCTCTCTCTCTCTCTCTCAAAATAAATAAACATGAAAAAAAAGAAATAGAAGTGAAGCCTGCTTCTCAGAGTTGCCCTGAGAAAAACCAAAGCTCTTTTATTTAAAATATGCTTACTGTTTATTACATGATCTTACATAATCCTCTTGGGACAATCAACTTCAGTCCTTTGTACGGTGAACACGGAGGCAAAGGATGGTGAAAGTATTTCCCGGAACCAGTTGGTCATGGTAACACTGGCCTCTGCTTCCAGAGCAAGGACAAAACTCACAGCGGCTCACTGCGACAGGTGTTTATTTCTGTGTTGTTCATGTCACGGCTTGATGTTGGTCAGGCAGCTTGCCAAAGGCGCTCTTTTCTGAGGAGTGACTCAGCAATCCAGCCTTCTTGTAAATCACAACCAGCATCTGGAACACGTGGCCTTCAAGTTCACTGAGGTCAGGGAGAGAGGGTTGATAGATTGTACAGGGAGCTTTAAAGAACCAGGCATGGAAGCCTTGACTACCACATCTGCCTACGTCCTGTGGCCCTAACTCGTCATACGACTCCAAGTGCAAGGAGGCTGAGAAGTAAAGAGAAGATCCCGGGTGAGGGCTAATAGTTTCTATACAGTCTGCCCTTTGTCACTGCTTCTCTACCTAGGTTAATGCAATTGACCAGTCCCCAAGAGAGATCAACCCAAAGTCCTATACGGTCATTGCATCAAATTAAATGTCCAGGATCTCTGGATGGCAAGTGGTCTTCTCTGGCAGGTGAGGGCATTGGATTCACTCTGTCCAGAGACCTGTGAACTGAAAAGACCAGTTATTTGCCCTTGATGTAATATATCTGGTTTGGAGAGGACAGGTGCTTGCAATCAACTACTTCATTCATGGAGGGGAAGATGGTGACACCAGTGGCCAGTGCTCTGTAGCGATCCTGAAATCCTCCAGAAATGTTGTGAAAGTCCCTCACCCTTGGTTAGGCTAGATTCTGCAATCTGGGGATGCTCTTTTGTCTTGATCCTGGCGCCTGATTGCTTTTGTGAGGTCTCTCCTTCTACATTATTCTTTGGCCTCCTCTGAAGTGGGTGTAGAAGAGACATGATCTTCCAGGGACTTCTGCAGCCTTTGAAGGTGGCTTGTTTCACTGTAGAGCTTGAAGTTTGTTTTTATTTGGAACGGCCAGTGGTATCTTCTTTTCAGGCAGGCTCATTCATGGTTTTATTGGCCAAATGGTCTACCGCCCTTGAGAACGTAGCAGGTTTCTAATATCTTCCCACCAGGCTATTCCATATATGCCAGCAGCCACAGCCTGGATCTTTCTACATATACTTCTCACATTGTTTTTTTTTACCTTTCCCTCTCTCTCTCCCCTCCTCTTAACGAGGCTTGAAAAGGCAGAGCGGCAAGTTCAGTCTGATTTGTGCCCTAAGTTACTTCCTCCAACTGACAGTTTTTTCCTGAATGTTTATTACTGAAATCCTTTTACTTTTTCCCCTTAAATTACCTTCTCTTAATGTTTGAGGCCTAGAAACACATGGCTTTCCAACAATGTGAGATCCTGAATTTGTGGACTTTATTCCAGTTCATTTTACGTTAAAACCAGTCAGTTCTTGGGGCGCTGTGTGGCTCAGTCAGTTAAGCATCTGACTCTTGATTTCAGCTCAGGTCATGATCTCACGGGTCGTGAATTCAAGCCCCATGTCAGGCTCTTCACTGACAGTGCTGAGCCTGCTTGGGATTCTCTCTCTCTCCCTCTGTCTCTCTGTCCCTTCCCCCGCTCATGTGTGCTCTCTCTCTCTCAAAAATTAACTAATTACTTAATTAATAAAAATAGTCAATTATTTCCTGAGTTCATCTCTTTCTTGCAATACCCTAACAAGTGCAGAGAAAAACAACCAATGCATTATGGATGCATATTTTTAAAACTCTCTCCTTGGAGCTACAATTTCAGCAGACCAGGCCTGTCAGCTCTGGCACTTTGTCCCAAGATTCTCCATCATTTCAACCTGAGATAGCTTCCTCACTGCCTCTGCCAAATGTCTAGTCAATGTTGCACATTTTAGGTTTTTACTGGCAACCCACGATCATGGTACCGATTCCTCCATTAATCAGGGTTAGGCCAGGGTCCCAACTGCAGTGGCTTAACCCGATGAAAGATTATTTCTTTTGCATGTCACTGAACAGGGTAGGCCAAGTGGCTCTCCTCTGACGGCTTAAAGATGTGGGCTGTCTCCATCTGAAAGCTGAGGTTTTTGGAGCACGTTGCCTCCAAGGTCAGCACAGCAGAGGAAGAGAAGCCCTAAAGTGTGAGCTGTTTATAGGGAAGTGGCTTCCATCATTTCGGTCCTCACCTTCTCGGTTAGAATCCAGTCACATGGCCCCTCAATAAACACAGTGTAGGCTGGAAAATGTAGACGAGCACATGAACATGTGGTTGGCATTTTCAGCCTCTGCTATTTCAAGTCTAGGGGATGGGAAAGTTCAGACTCCTCATGTCTAAGCCAGAGGCATAGGTCAAGCCCAGAGACTGCATTGATCTGAAAGAGGACATCAGGGAACTTCAAAGTGTACCCATCACTCTTCAGCAGACAGGGCTGGGAACCAGTTGCAAAGATGGAAGGAGCACCTTGCCCCCCAACACTCTGTATTAGAATATTTGGTGATGGTACCCAGAAATCTGCTTTTCTATTAATGTCTTAGAGATATTGAGGCCAACATGAGAGCCACTGATGTAGTATAAATCTCCACGGGTGCGGGCTCGGTCAGGAAAAATAATTTGCCCTAATTTACCAGGGACATGAGTGGTATAGCCAGTCAGATTTTTGAATCCCATTAAATGTTATGTCCAGTTACGTATCAGCTTCTGTTCCTGGTTGTCGTTTGGAATTTCTCTTTAACACTCTGGGTCCAGAGAGGCCTATTGAGAACAAGTGAGTTCAGCATTCCTTGAAAATGAAAAGATAGGCTTGACAACGAGAGTGTGATCAGATTCTGTTTGGGCTTGGGCACATGGAACACATCTCTCCTTGCCTGTCCTACTACCTGACACTCTGCTTGTTTCTGGCTGCACCACACGACTTTGCTGTGTCTCGTTGCACGATCGCATCTATTTCCTTCCTACCCCTGGTCATCTTCCTGTCATTCCCCATTGGTATTTGAGATTATGCTCCTTATTGATGTTTGGAGATGAGGACTATTGGGCTGGAGGAGGGGGAAAGGGCTGTTGGACCTTGGTCTGAGCATCAACAATGGCAGCAAATAGTCACCAGTAAATTGTCTGCTTGCCACCAAAGTGTCTGACTTCTCCTGACCCCTTGAGATTTCCACTGCAATTTTGATGCAAACCGCTCCCCGCCCCCCCTTCCAAGAAGCTCAGCTTGAAGTTATCAAGGGTTTGTCAGTATGCTGCCTTGGATACAGGATCCTGACCCTCTTTGGTCTTCTTCAACCTCTGGAGATAGATATCTTTAAGACATGTGGTTCCTAGGTGTGGAAGGGAACTTCTGGAGTCATTTGTTGATCCCCTCCCCGGTTTCTTAATGCAGGGGATACTTGTATTATTCTGGATTCAAAGTTGATTACAAGAAAGAAAACCAACCAGCCACAAGGCTGATGCAACAACTGAGAGGAGAGACCACTGGGTAGGGCATGGGATGGTGAGAAAAGAAATGACTTTGGAAAGGAAGAAGGTATTTGAACAAATGACTGAAACTGATGTCAGATCTGGAGCTGTGGAGCTGGCTAACCCTGGCGCCAGCCAAGCTGACTTTCCTTGACATGCAGGTGAGCCCAGCTTGGGGGCGAGCCCAGCTTGGGGGCAAGCCCGGAGTCTACCATATACTCATTCCTCCAGAACACAAGCCCCACCTTCTGAATCCAACCCTCCTTTCTCTGGTACTCCCACCAGCTTTATCTTATCCTTTAAAAAGGCATCAAAGTCAGGTTTTACCCAAAAACATATTTTATGTGAAAATTCAAGAGCTGTACATATAAAAATATTCAGTTCTATGATATTATTATGTTTCATAGGGACATCCCCTCCTAAAAATTAAATATATGTTTATTTGCATTGATTCATGCACAGATACTCACAACACTACAGTGAGGTAGAGAGGAAGGAGCATCCTGTAGTTTTCAAGGGTCTGAAGTGACATGTGTCCAAAGGTTTGCATTTGAAACACATCCAATTCCAGAGCCCATTAAATTAAAATATTAACAACTTAGAAGATGACATAATACACTACTTAAGAAAAACCATGATTCACATTATTACACAAATTTCATATTCCTTAGAATTGTAATAGAATAATTTCAGAATGCATGTTGGAAAGAACAGGGCATATACATTAATTGTTCCCTGAGTACTGACTTGGCTTCATTGTGGGCATGAAGGTTCATAGCTTTGAAGTTTGGGTTTTCTTGTTCAGGTACTCCATGAAATCCTGGACCCACTTCTGCTTGGGGTCAGCACAGAGCTCCTTGGCCTGTTTGGTCTTGAAGCTGTGGGTAAAGAGGGCAATTAGATAGAGCACCTTGAAGATTCAGCTTGGGAGTGTAACCTACTCTATGGAAAACTTGCCTGGCCCATTAGCCTGAGGTTAGGAAGGGACCTCTGGGGATGGAGCTGTTTTTGCTGACCTAGGTGAAGCCATCTTGGCTCCTAGATGAAAGAACTGACATCTGAACCAATGTCTGGACAGGGAGCTGAAAATGGGAAGTCTCTTTACTTTCTTGAATTCACTTTTCCCATAAAAAAAATTCCTGGGGTTGGATTAGTCTAAGCATCTGAGGGTTAAATTCCAACTCAGTCTTATCATAGAACCCAATCCACTGTCTGGGAGCGAGCTCAAGATCAAGGGATGAGTGTGGGTGGTCATGGCTTCACTCACATCACGGCTTCCCTGGGACAATAGCTGCTGGTGATTCTTCTGTAGCTCTTCAGCTTCTGGATGGGGATCTTTCTAACGGTAAATCTATAGCAGCAGGTGGTTGGGCTATTAATCCCCTCTGTGGAAACAAAAACAACAAAGGCTATTGAGGGTGTGTGCTGGGACTTTCATTTGAAAACGAGGGAACAGTAAGGAGGAGGAGTCAAAGGAAAGGGAAGCCACCTACCCTAAATCCCTAAGGACTAGGTCTGTCTTGAAGTACCTACATCTGTCTTGAAACTCTCTCACTTGCATGGACTGTAAAGTGGAAGGATACCGCAGCTCATTAAGAAGAGAAGAGGAATGGTGACAAATCTGGGTATTTCTAGGAGAGGCTCATAGAATAGTCCAGCTCCTCAGGTCAAGGGGACCCCAGCTATAGGTCCCCCTCTAGGCTCTGAGCAATCTGTTCCTAGTTGTCAGTTTCTCCGATACCTGCAGCCTCTGCAGAACCCTGTCTCTGGATCCTGGACCGAACGAAGCATAGACCAGATTCTGGGTCTCCTCCTTTCCCCTCCACCATATCTGGAGATACCCTGCACCCTCTCCACCAGAGTCCCCTGCTTTTTGATGACCCAAGTCCCCAACCCCTGTTGCAAGGAGCCGGGGCAGTAACTACACGGAGGGTGTGATTACAGAGCTGGAGTCCTGGGAGGACTGGGTTTGGGGTCCACGGCTGGAATTCTCATCCAGGCTCTGCCCTGGAGCAGCTGTGTGATCCGGCTCCCTCCGTGTCCTTCTCTGACTTTCCTGATTATGAGAACCCAGAGGTGGGGTAGTGGGCTTCAGAGGGAAGGAGAGAGGGGCTTACCTGGCTGAGCAAGTGCCTGGAGGCTGAAGGCAGCAGCTGTGAGCAGCAGGCACAGAAGCGCTGCGGAGACCTTCATGTCTGCAGGGAGCGAGGAACTTGGGTGTGAGAGCTGGAGGTTTCCAAGCTGGTCTCAGCTTCTCTGCCCCTCTGGGGGTTCTGCCTGCCTTTTATAGGGAAAGACAGGAATAAGAAGAAAGTGAGTGGATGACAGGGCTTTGCTCTTCTGAATGAATCATAGGATGGAATAGTAAATCTGCTGAGCCATTGCCCTCCCCTGAGGAACATACTAGGAAATGAGAGAGAAATGTGATTGATGCTGGCCTGCTTTCCATTCAGGCTCTGGTGTGTTGGTGAGGTGCTGGCTATGCCCAAGCAGTGTGTGATCTATTACTGTTACCAAGGGTTCCTTTTTTTTTTTTTTTTTTTGAAATGAAACACTTTATGTAGAAAAAGAAAGGAAGTAGGGTTACCAAATCAAAGAAATGTAAGGGATTTCCCCAATTTTCCTTTCAGACAGCATCTCCAGGACCCCAGTTTCCAGAGAAAGTAAAACTTTGGCTGGGCTTTAAAATGGACTAAAAAAATCCTTTACTGCTTTAAACCCTGGTGGCTTTTCTTTTCTTTTCTTTTTTTTTTAAATTTTTTTTTTAACATTTATTTATTTTTGAGACAGAGAGAGACAGAGCAGGAACAGGGGAGGGTCAGAGAGAGGGAGACACAGAATCCGAAACAGGCTCCAGGCTCTGAGCTGTCAGCACAGAGCCCGACGCGGGGCTCGAACTCACAGCCCTCACAGACTGCGAGATCATGACCTGAGCTGAAGTTGGCCGCTCAACCGACTGAGCCACCCAGGCGCCCCCCCTGGTGGCTTTGCTTAAACCCAAAGAAGAATGCGATAATAGGACATTAGCAGAAAAGTAGACTTCTCTATTTTTAGAATAATACCTAAAATTGTATATCTAGTAATTAAATGCTATAACAACCCATCTGAAAACAGTGATTTAAAGCAAGAACAATAATTGATTTTGCTTTTGGATATGGGACTTGGCGGGCTCAGCCAGGTAGTTCTTGCTCAGGGATTTTTACATCATTGTAGTTGGATGGTGGCTGAGACTGGGGTCATCTCAAGGCTTTCACTCAGTGTCAGGTGTCTGAGCTGGGAGGTCTTAAACAGCTGGGGATTGGATCAGATGGAAGCTTCTTGCCCCCACCCCCATCTTTCCAGTGGTCCCGCCACATAGCTGGATATGGATATTTTACATGATGGTTTAAGACTCCCAGGTACAAAGTTAGGGAACATAGACCACATCTCTTAATTTGAGGACCATAAAAGAATTTGCAGACATGTTTTTAAACCACTATCTGTTCCATAGGCTATCTGAACTACAAAGCACTTAATAAGATCATGGGATGCTGTGGTTTTTAAAATATCGGATTATCTATGAAAATATTATTACAAGTAAAATAACAGAAGGGATGGGGTGCCTGGGCAGCTCAGTCAGTTGAGTGTCTGACTGTTGGTTTGGGCTCAGGTCCTGGAATTGAGCCCCACGTCAGGCTCCGTGCTGAGTATGGATCATGCTTAAGATTCTCTGTCTCTTTTTAACTCTGCCTTTCTCCCCTACTCACTCTCTCTCTCTCTCTCTCTCTCTCTCTCTCTTATAAAAAGAATAGAGGGGAAGCCAAACTTATGAATAAAATCAAAGTGGACTTGCTCAGTTGGAGGCTAAGACGGGAGTCTTCACAACCTCTCTTCTCATACATATCTCAAGGATCTAACGACTAGAGTTTGAAAACCAGTTGTCCGTTTGCTGTTTCAACCTGCCCTTGTTTATATGCACACACTACAAGCTCATCAACAAATCGCTGATGATATTAATGGAAAGGGGGCTTGATGAGAGGCCCTTGGCTTTGTCCATCTTTTCTATTGTTGTTCAGTCTTTATTTAATTTACTTCTGCTCTGATATTCATTACTTCCTGTGCCTTTTTTGTTGTCTCTTGAGGTATAAAGTTAGGTTTGTTATTTGAGATCTTCCTTTTTTTCTTAATGTTTGCATCCATTGTTACAAGCATCTCTCTTAGAACTGCTTTTGATGTGTTGCATACGTTTTGGTTGGTTGTGTTTCCATTTTTGTTACCTTCAAGATATTTTTTATTTCCCTTGGATTTCTTCTTTGACCCATTGATTGTTTAGGGGTGTGTTGTTTAATCCTTACATGTTTGCATATTTTCCAGTTTTCCTCTTGTTATTGATTTATAGTTTCATACCATTGTGTTAGGAAAAGATACTTGGCATGAATTCAGTCTTTTTAAAGTTTGCTAAGCCTTGCTTTGTTATCTATCACGTAACATTGGAGAATGTTTTGTGTGTGATTAAGGAGAATGTACATTCTGTATACATTCCATTTGATCGGATGGAATGTTCTATATATGTCTGTGAGGTACATTTGATCCAAAGTACTTCAGGTCCAACATTTCCTTACTGATTTTTGTTTGGTTGATCTATCCGTTGTTGAAGGGGGTATAAAAGTCCCTTGCTATTACTGTGATCTATTTTTCCCCTTTGATCCATTAGTATTTGCTCAATATGTTTAGTTTCTCCAATGTTGGGTATAGTTATATTTATGATTGTTCTATCCTCTGGATGAATTGACCCCTTTATAATTACATAATGATCTTCTTTGTCGCTTCCAGGTTTTGGCTTAAAGTCTATTTTTTGCTACATGTATAGTTATTCCTGTTCTCTTTTGGAATATCTTTCCCATCTTTTCACATTGAGCCCACGTGTGTTTGTAAAGTCAAAGTGAGTCTCCTGTAGGAAGCATATAGTTGGGTCTTACTTGTAATTTTTTAATGTATTTAGCCACAGTATGCCTTTTCTGGAGAATTTAGTCCATTCACATTTGGTGAATATTGATAGGTAAGGACTTGATAATGCCATCTTACTTTTTTCTATTTTGTAGTTCCCTTGTTCCTTTCTCCTATCTCACTTGCTCCCTTCATTTGTGAATTGATGATTCTTCATAGTGGTATTCTTTGATTCCTTTCTCTTTCTTTTTTGTGTATTCACTGTAGATTTTTGCCTTAAGGCTATCATGAGGCTCCCATAATACATCTAATAGATACAACAAGCTATTTTATGCCTGGTTGCTTGACTTTGACTGCATACAAAACCTTTACCTTTATATCTTTCCTTTTATGTTTGTTATGCTACATTACCTCTCTTTACATTGTGTAACATTTAACAGATTATTGCAGCTATTATTTTTAATAATGTTGTCCTTTAGCCTTTATAGTAAAGTGGTTAATACAGTATAATATTACAGTATTAGACTATTCTGAACTTGACTATATAATTACCTTTACTAGTGTGATGTATATGTTTTCATGTTACTAATTAGTATCCTTTCATTTCAGCTCGAAAAACCCTTTTCAGCATTTCTTATAAGGCAGGTCTAATGGTAATGAAGACACCATCCCACTCTCTCCTGACTGTGAAGTTAATGCTGAGAAACCCTCTGATTACCTTATGGGAGTTCCTTTGTAAGTGACAAGTTTCTTTTCTCTTTCTGCTTTTAAGATTCTCTTTTTGTCTTTGTTTTTTTTAACAGTTTTATTACAATATGTCTTCGGAGAAGAGTTTTTAAAGTTGAGTTTGTTTGGTGACCTATGAACTTTATGAATTTGGATATTGAAAACTCTCCCCAGATTTGGGAAGTTCTCAAACATTACTTCTTTAAAGAAGCTTTCTTGGGGTGCCTGGGTGGCTCAGTCAGTTGAGCGTCTGACTTTGGCTCAGGTCGCGATCTCGTAGTTCGTGAGTTCAAGTCCTTCATTGGGCTCTGTGCTGACAGCTCGGAGCCTGGAGCCTGCTTCAGATTCTGTGTCTCCCTCTCTCTGCCCCGTTCCCACTCATGTTCTGTCTCTCTCTGTCTTGCAAAGATGAGTAAACGTTAAAAAAATTTTAAAGAAATTTTCTTGCCCCTTCTCCCTCTCTATCTTTCTGGGACTCCAATAATTCACAGATTTTTTTTTTCTTTTAATAATATCCCAGAGATCACATAGGCTTTCTTCAGTCTTCTTCGTTCTTTGTTGTTGTTATTCTCTGACTAGATAATTTCTAAGGTCTTCTCCACAAATTCTTTCTTCCCCTTGGTCCATTCTGCTGTTGATGATGTTTATTGTATTTTTTATTTCATTCATTGCATCTTCAGCTCCACAACTTCTTCTTTTTAATGCTTTTTATCTCTTTATTAAACTTCTCATTCTGTTGATGTTTTGTTTTCCTGATTTTGTTGAAAGGACTTTCTCTGTTTTCTTGTAGTTCATTGAGCTTCCTTAAAAAGGCTATTTTAAATTCTTTTTCAGGTAAGTCATAGATCTTCGTGCCTTTGGGGTCAGTTACTGGAATGTTATTGTGATCCTTTGGTGGTGTCATGTTTCTTTGATTTTACATATTCCTCAAAGTCTTGTTTTGTTTCTTTGAATTTGAAGAAGAAGCAGCAGTCACCTCCTCTAGTCTTTTTTTTTTTTTTTTAGTTTATTTATTTATTTTTGAGAGAGACAGAGACAGAGACAGCACAGGTAAGGGAGATGCAGAGATAAAGGGAAGGAGAGGGGCGTCTGGGTGGCTCAGTCGGTTAAGCCTCCGACTTCAGCTCAGGTCACGATTTCACGGTCCATGAGTTCGAGCCCCGCGACGGGCTCTGGGCTGATGGCTCAGAGCCTGGAGCCTGCTTCCGGTTCTGTGTCTCCCTCTCTCTGACCCTCCCCCGTTCATGTTCTGTCTCTCTCTGTCTCAAAAATAAATAAACGTTAAAAAAAAATTAAAAAAAAATAAATAAATAAAGGGAAGGAGAGAATCCCAAGCAGGCTCCACACTGTCAGCACAGAGTCCAGCATGGAGCTTGAACTCACAAAACCATGAAATCATGACCTCAGCCAAAAACAAGAGTTAACTGACTTGTTAGCAAGCTTAACTGACTGAGTCACCCTGGTGCCCCCCTCTCCTCTAGTCTTTGCTGACTGGCTTTGGGAGACAACTTCCTTCTGTCAGCCCTGCTAGGGATTTTGAGGCTTTCTCAGAACTTCTATAGATATGTCTGTTCCATTCTTCTTTCTCCTTCTTGTGACAGAGTTCTTAAGCGTGTATGCCTTCTCTCAATCCTGCAATACACCAGGCTGAATGCTGACAGTCTGTCTTGCTTCCTCAAGGGCATAACTAAAGCTCACATTTATGGTCTCTCCCTGGATCACAGCTGCAGGTGGTTTTCTGTGCTGGACCACTAGCTGTCTGTCAAAGCTTGCTCTTGCCCTTGTCAGGAGCAGTCACAGATGCAGGGAAACAGATGCAGGTTGGGGAGGGGTGTTTTGGTGAAGCTCATAGAGTGCTGAGGGTGCCCATGGAGCCAGTTAAAGGGATCTGCCAGTGAGATGTCTCCAGTGGCCTGTGGGCAGGCTTCTTGATGAAGTCTGTGGTGCAGTTAGTAGGATCCATGCCCTTTGAATGCCTTAAAAAAGTCTTATCTCCTGCCCTGTCAGCCTCTTTTTGTTCCTTGGGTCATGTAGCTCAATGAGTTAGTACTTTGGATGAGACAGGAAACAAATGGATCTCTTTGGTAGCTTCCACCTAGCTGGGGAGCTGGGGAAGCACACCCCAAATGCCCTCACTTTCCCCACAGGAGAAATCAAGGGCTGAGAGGGTCTCTCTTGGCACTGGTCTATGCCACTTTGGAGAAGGAGTGATGCAGGTAATGTCAGACTGTTCCTTTTGCCCTCTCCACTGCATCCAAACTTGATTTATTTTTTTCCAACAGCGTGCTGGAACTTCTCCACTAAAAATCTGGACTTTGATAGATGCTCTCCCATCTGTAGGTGACTGTCCAAGACAGTGTTCCCCAGGAACTCCCAGAATACAGCCAAGAGAGGTCCCTGCAGATTCCACAGCCAGGACCAATATCTGAATGCTTTTGGCTTGATGAATGAAGGGGTGACTTCTTCCTTGGCATATGGTGCTGGATCGCACAGCTCCCAAAAGGCACTTTTGTCCCTGCATGGGTGCAAAATTATTGCTGTTAAGGGGGAGATATGAGCAAGGGACATCTTATTTGGCCATCTCACTGACTTCGGTCCTCTTTCCATTACTGTTTTCTTTTGTGATACATAAATAATACTATTTTATTGTATGCCATTTTATTCCCTTTTTTCTTTTACTATGTATATTTTAGTTATTTTCACAGTAGTCGCTCTGACTACAATTATCATGTATAACAACGTGGTTCAGGTTAATGCCATCTTTATTTCAACAGTATCAAAACTTTGATCCCTTGTAGCTTCACCCTCCTCCACCTTAAAGCTATGTTGAATGGAGAAAGGGGCCATGAGGAATGCAGGTGGCCTCTAAAAATTAGAAAAGGCAAGAGGGGCGCCTGGGTGGCGCAGTCGGTTAAGCGTCCGACTTCAGCCAGGTCACGATCTCGCGGTCCGTGAGTTCGAGCCCCGCGTCGGGCTCTGGGCGGATGGCTCGGAGCCTGGAGCCTGTTTCCGATTCTGTGTCTCCCTCTCTCTCTGCCCCTCCCCCGTTCATGCTCTGTCTCTCTCTGTCCCAAAAATAAATAAACGTTAAAAATTAGAAAAGGCAAGAAAACAGATTCTTTCCCAGAGCCTCCAAAAGGCATGCAGCCCTACTGACCCATTTTAAACTTCTGGTCTCCAGAACTATAAGGTAATATATTTGTGTTGTTTTAAGCCATTATGTTAATGATAAATTGTTACAGTAGCAATAAGAAACTAAAAGAGATTTTGATATCTGGAATATCTATAAGTGGGGTGCTGCCATAATAAATATTTTAAAAAATGTAGAAGCGACTTTGGAATTGGGCAATGAGCACAGGCTGGAAGAATTTCGAGCGTGATAGAAAAGGCCTAGATTTCCTGAAACAGACTGTTGGCAGCAACAGGAAATGAATACACCACACTTGGCATTGCCTCCTGAACCAGGGCCTATTGCCAGTGCCTCATGTTCACGGTTTTCTCATGCAAGGAGCAAGGACTCCCTTGCTTAGCTGGAGAAAAAAAAATAGATTCAAGATTTCCTGAAAATGAATAGATGTGGCTTGGAAAGGGAATGTGAGTGGATTGCTTTTGGGCTTGAGCACATGGATTGCCTCTCCCTCGGCGTCCCCTCCCTCCAGACCCTCCATCACAAATTTGCCTGGTTTTAGAGGGTCTGACGCTCCCTAAACTGTATGTGGATGTCCCATGTGCTCGCACTCCATTCCCTTTTGCCCCCCTGGCATCCACTGCAGCTGAGGATTTAGTCCTGCTTGGCAATCAAGGATGTAGACTGGAGGAGTGGAGGAGAAGCAGGGAGGGCTACTGGACCTGGCAGATGGGTCAGAGAGTTCCATAAAAAGCAGCCAATAAGTTGTCTTCTGACAGATGTATCAAGGCACTTTGGGGAGCTTGGAGCTTTGATAGAATCCCTCAGCCTGAACCAGGGACCCTGGACTATCTTAGGAATATGGAAGCAGAATCCCCTTTATTCATCTCCAGCTCCAACTGTTGGAGATGGAGGTTTTCCAACACACACACTCCCAGATCCTAGAACCTAGGTTCTGCCAAATTCCTATTTGTAGCACATTATCACCCCCATTTTACTGATGGAAACTCAGAATACCCAATCTGCTCTGAATGACAGAGTGAGTCAATGCCAAGACTGGGATTAGAACTCGAGTGTCCCTGCCAGCCAGGGTTTTCCCCAGCTGCTGAAGGCATTGCCTGGTCTAGCTTGATACAGTAGCCATCTCACCACCAGACTAGACTGGTGAATCTGCAAAACCACCATGCAGAATTTATTCAATAGGGCAAGAGATCTGCTTTCTTTAAGTGGAAGGGCTGCCTGTGCTTAGATGGGTCAAATGCCTCACAGGTAGGTCAAATGCCATGCAAGGAAGTACAGACCTTAGGTGGACATTCAGGGAAAAGAGATCCATCCATATAAATGGATGATCCTGTGCTCCTTGGATTGAAATGGGGGATATTGGTGAAGAGAAGCACGTTCTGATTTCAGGTAAACTGTCTCTTAGAATGTGGATTGTAGAAAGGGCTTCTGAGTCTTAGGTCACAGGTCCTTCTCTTCCATCTACAACACACAGCATTTCACTCTACCTAGCTCATTGTTCTCCAAAGCTGCTTCTTGGGCTCCATATTCAAGCACTCATCATCTCTTTCTTGGATCATGACAGTAGCCTCTCCCTTGTCCATACTTCTCCAAACGTGTATGAAGCCAATAAGTTACATTTACTGACACTCACCTCTGAATCTTTGAACATGGCATGTCCTTCCTCATTGGCTCAAACATTGTCAACATCTCCTTTTAATCTATGAAGTTGAGTCCTGACTTACCATCCTGACATTCAAAACCCTTTTCCAACTTTTCTTCCTAAACTTCCCCAACACTTGACACCGACATGGACCCCAACTCCCACCTGATTGGTTTTCACCCTCTTTGATGTACACACCATCATCATTCCTACCTCCAGGTATTTGGCTCCATTCTTCTTTCTCCTCTTCTAAATGATACTGTAATTTTTCTAGAAAAATCTCATGTACTCATCAAGGAGAAGTTCAAGTCATATCTTCTTTATGAAATCTGAATCTGACGCTCTTATCAGTGGTCATTCAGTTTCTCCTTGATTTCCCAAAGTCGGCAGTGTCTGTATTACTCCAAGTTGGAAGATTACTTGGAGGGGGAGAGGTTGGGGGCAAGTATCCCAGGTAGGGGGCAGTAGTAGTAGATGATGAGAGAGATTGAGGGCAGGGGTCAAGGGCTGTGAGAAAGGACATGGGGCGTTGCTAAAGAGATAGGGTGACAAGGGTAATTGGGATCTGGACAGATGGTCTTGGGGACTAGAATGGTAGGGCTGGAATGCTTGACTGGGTCCTGACTTAAAGATTCTTCTATAGGCACTCAGATTTGCCTACCCAGTGAAAAAGACCAGGGCCAATCCACATTGTCACTCCTCCCAACACAAGCCCACCCTCTGCAAACATGTTCCCTCCTAATCACCAAGATTACACTCAGCTTTTTAATTTCTTTCAAGAAAACACCAAAAGCAGTTTTGTACAAAAATATATATTTATATATTGATCAATAGTTATATAATATACATCTCCACAATAGCATTTCTAGCAATTCTTTAGAATTTAAAACATAGTCTTTGTATTAATGGTCCTTGCAAGGACACTCACACCATCCCAGGGGTGGAACTTCCTCCTCTCCCAGAGAAAAGCAATTTGTCCGGTCTCCATATGTAAAAAAAAAAAAAAAAAAAAAAAAAAAAAAAAAAAAAAAAAAAAA